ACCAGTCTGCACTCCCACCAGCAGTGGAGCAGGGTTCCTCTTTCCCCACAGCCCTGCCAGCATTTGTTATTGGTTGATTTCATAGCAGCCATTCTTTCTAGGGTGAGGCGGAATCTCAGCGTTGTTTTCATAGCAGCTCTAATCTTGACCAACAGTGCTTTGCATAAAACCCATTAATACTCGGTACCTGTCGATGGCCTTTCCCTTCCCCCAGCTCCCAGCCTCTGGTAACTACTGGCGGGGTCTCCACTTCTGAGGTCAGGCGCTGGTAGGTTAAGGGCAATGTGTGAGAGATTTCAAAATAGCTAGGAGAGGTGATTTTGAATCTTCTCATCATGAAGAAATGATAATTGTTGGAGATGAAGGATTTGAGGTAGGAGATTAGGGTGGGGTAAAACTAGTTAAGCAAGTGGGCGTCACCCGTCAGTTTTGGAGACCCCGACACATGCGCAGAACACAGAATCCAAGATGACTATGCGATTGCCCAAACCATGCACGCGGGACTGGCCGGACCAATCAGGAAGTGCTATCTTTGGCCCTGCATTTACATCCGGTGCTAAAACCACGGGACCTTTGATAGGACAGTTTAGATCTGACGTCAGGCCAAGTGAGTTTCTGATAGGACAACCATCCCCAATGCCTAGCTGCGTGAGAGAGAAGCAATCTAGGAACAGACAACACAAAAGAGCCATGTCATTTTCTGGTGGCTGCTGTGAGCCTTTCACCACACCGCTCACCCTGCAGAGCGAATTTTTTTTCCTCCTTCAATACATGTAAGTCCTTGCTACCTTTTCCGGGTGTCTTGTCCAAGTCTTTGTTGAGGACTCTAAACAATAGAAAGAGTCGCTTTGGGATCCAGAAGCGATCACTGTACAGAATATTCACATAGCCCGTCAACACGTATACTTATTATGCACCTATAAAACTGAAGCTTATTTTAAAACGCACTAAATTTGTTAGACGGAGGGAGAGCTGAGTGATTGAAACAGTTACAGACCGAGAGATTGTAAGATTCTCTCACGGAGAAGCCACCAGGTCAACAAGCGAAGGCAGCGTGACAGTGGGTCACCTGCTTGCTGTGCTCCTTGCGTGCCCTGACGTGAAGATGTCTGACTGCCAGATCTCTGCTGAGCAATGTAGATATCCGAGCTGGGCTCACAGCTGTCTCTGTGGCCTCAGACTCTTTTGAGGACTTTTATCTGTGATCGCATGTTGCTAATATGAATAAAGGACAAGGATAGGATAGAAAAGAAAAGCCTAAGAGTATATTTTGTCAAAAATTCAAACAATTAAAGAGGGCTGACAGGGCAATTAGCCTTAGAATGTGGATAGTTGGAGGGAGGAGTTATATCTACCAATAACACCTGACAAGAAGGAAGAGCTTTTTTCAGGACAGGGGAGGTTTAGGAAAAGAGAATCTGCTGTGAGCATCTGCGAGAATAAGCAAAGGGAGAGAAATCTCCATCGAGTCCTCTGAAGCCCAATGCACATCTGACCTGCTCCATAGGGAAAATCTTTACAATTAAAGTTGTTTCCTGATGAGTGGATTCTTTCAAAATTGAGTTAAGTCCTGTGAGAAGATAGGTTTTCTGTATTTCTTATAGGGTAGTGTATTTGGCTCAGGACTCTAATAGAAGAAGAAAATTATAGTACTGAGAACATGTGGAGGGAAAAAGCAAAGACAGAGAGAGACAGAGAGAAGAGGTGAGGAGGGACAGAATGACCGGGAGAACCTAACTATGTGCTTAAATCATTGCCTTTTTTTAAAAAAGGGAAAATCTACTGTATAGAGTGATAGAGGTGCTACCGACAGGCCCGATAGCTGCAGGCCTAGGCACCTGATCGTTCACCCAGACTCCACTGTTGTGATTCAGTACGAAGCTGTTTCCGTTCCATGGCAGTGAAGCTCACATAGCCAAAGGTTTAGGAAGCCAGCAGCCCCTGTGCCAAGGCCTCCCCCCAAGTGCCAAGTCCCTGTGGGGCAGCGGAGCCTGGACCTTCCCACCCAGGAGCCCTGGGTGTGGCGCCCAAGGAGGATGGGAGCAAGCTCCTCGGCATGGCTTCACCCTTCTCCTGGTTTGGCTGGTCTCCAGCTAGCTCCACTCCGATCCGAAATGGAGCTGACACAGGTCCCTCCCGCTCAGCCCCCTCTGCAGCGGCGGTTGGGTTTTGGCAAAGACCCCAGGCACTCCAGCACCGCGCAGGCTAAGTAGCTCCCACCCAACATCCGGGACACAGGTTTATTAAAAAATGATTCGCCTGAAATCCAGTGATTCCTGGATGGCCCCGATTTTTTTGTGGCAATTCTATTGTCAGAACTCTGGGCGTCCCCAGGGCACCTGGGGAGGATCTTGGGAAGGTCAGGCCTGAGTCTTTGAAGAACCAGACAGGGAGTACCAGTAAGTTATCCTTTTCTGTTTTGTTTTGTTTTCTGAGACAAGATCTCACTCTGTAGTTCAGGCTGGCCTTGAACTCACTACACAGCCCAGGCTGGCCTCAAACTCATGGCGATCCTCCTGCCTCAGGCTCCCAAGTGCTGGGATTATAGGCATGTATCGCTACACCGGGCAGTAAATTGTCTCTTAATGACAAAGGGGAGTAGGGCACCTGGTGTCTCTTCAACCCCAGAAAAGCTTCATCCCCACTGTCCCCATCCCAGTTCCCCAGGGGAGAAGGGGACAGTGATTTCAGCTGGCGGCGCAAGATCACTACAGAGAGGAGGGAGCGAACACTGGGCGGGCAGCGGGGGACAGGAACCACACACGGACACGCATAAGCTCACAGCAGACCTTCAAAGCTACAGTCGCGGGTGGAGGCAGACATACACACGTGCCCACGGCTGACTGAAAACGCACTTTTCCTCCCTGTGGGCCTGTCTCGTTGAGCTCGGCACTCGGTCGCTGCGTGTCCCAGCAGGGAGCGCGGACCCCGCTGTCCGGGCTGCAGTGACCAGCTGGGGCACAGTCACAGTCGGTGCGCAGTGCGGCTGGGCTGCCTGGAGCCTCGCTCTCCGCTCTCCTTTATCCCGAGGACCAGGGCCCAGTTCGCAACCCTTTTGTTTAACCTTAACCTCGAGTGCTTTTCAAATCCCTCCATCAACTCCAGGTCTCTAGGGAGTGGGATTTTAAGCTCCAGTTTGCGGATTTAGCCCTCCAGCCTGCCAAAGTTCCAGGCTGCATAATTACCGACGTTTGCTGTACCTAGAACGAAAGGATCCTGGCCAGGACTTTCTTTCTATTGATGCATCATTACTTGTCCTGCTCTAGGTTTGGTGATCTTCCAGTAGAATCTCTCTGTGGGAGCTATGCTGAATTCACCCGTCAGTTTAAGCTCCATTCAGATGAAGGGGTTTTGTCCTTGGAGCTCTGTTGTAGTTCCATAGTCATACGCAGCTCGAGGCTTTGTTACTATGTAGCTCCCAGAGGCATGCAAACTACTCTTACCTTTCTGTGCCTTTGCACCTAAAAAATCTACTGATAAAAATACAGTTGAGCTGCAGAAACCTAAATATGGTTTAGCGGGAGAAGGCGGTGCTATTTATTATGCCAGGAGGTATTAAACGAGTGAAATAAATCTGGTTCCCGCTGTAATAAAAGGGAACCGGCAGGATGTCCAGTGGAGCTGGCTGGGGGTGCGCTCCCGGTTCCCACGGGTGTTTCAGACCTCGGGACTCACGCGGGTTGTATTGGAGTGAGAACAGCGCGTCCAGCTCTGGGGCGCCCAGGCCGCAGCCCGACAGCCAGCCCTGCCCGGGAGCCCAGAGGGCCCAGGCCTGGGCGCGCACTTACCCGTGCTGCTCTGGATGGTGCGCACCGTGGTGGCCGTGCGCGGCGGCGAGACCGAGCGCAGCGACACGCACTCGTCGTCCTGCGAGCAGCCCTTCTCGATGGCGCGCACGTAGCTGTGGCTCCGCATGCGGAAGCAACCAGGCACGGGCAGGTCCAGAGCCTCCACCGCCTGCGACTCCAGCTCGCTGAACACCGACTCACACACGGACTCGAACTGCCCGTTCACCTCCATCTCGCTCACCTGCGGGACAGCACGGGGTCAGTGCCCTGCGGACCACCCCGCCCTCCTTCCAGGGGCACCGATTTCAAGAGGGAGCTTGGTTTATTCCCATGCCTCCTCCCTATTTCCTTTTTTTTTACCCCCGAGAGGCTTGGTTTCCAACCCAAGGCCTCCCGCATGCTGGGCAAGCGCTGACCACTGAGCCCCAGCCCCAGCTCCTCCTGGGGTGCAGACGGGAATTTGGAGTTTTACGGGCCCTGTGCAGAGCTCACGTGTCCAGGGCAACTGTTCGGCGCAAACACTTTGGCAACAAGTGTTTTTACTCCGCCTTTTCAGATGACCAGATTGTTTCCATTTTGGCTAATGCTTCATGAAGCGCAATGTATGGAAACATGCTTCAAATTCTCGTGCAGAAATAGACTAAATCCAGATTGTCATACCGTGGAAAGCACTGTCAAGATTCTCACATTATGTACAGGTTTCACTCTTCTTTATAAACAGCTGATATGGTACACAAATTGTTTAAAAGTACATTTAAAAAGATCTTTGAAGTGGGCCTCTCTTTTTTTTAATAAATGGTTTTAGCCCTCCTGTTTTTTTGATTTTGTTTTTGTTTTTTTTGGTACGGAGGATCAAACTCGGGACTTTGAGCTTTCAAGGCAGGTGCCAGAACCACTGAGCTAAATCCCCGGCCCAGCCCTCCTGTTTTTTTGAGGAATCAGTTTTTATTGATTTATGTTCCTCTGTGTATAACTCTCATTGAGCTCAAGAACTGTTTATAAAAAATTATGATTAACTAGATGTTCCAGTCAGTGTCTCACTTTGTAGATGACTGCATGAAGATTTGGGAGCAGTTTTCTGTTACATTCCAGGACTTCTTGTCTGTTTTTCCTAATATCGAATTCATGAGTAATTAGGAATTTAATTAAGCTTAGAACACATATCAAATACTGTTAAAAATCTTTGTTGTGCTACACAGAGATGTGCTCTAGAATGGCTAATTTCTTAAAGCCTCAGCTAAGAATGGCTAATTAAGATATTTTACTAGAAAGAGATATGCATTTCTTAATAAGAAATCTTTATCACATAAAAATAGTATTTTCACATATTTTATCTAATTTGACAAAAAATCTTTGTATATTTTCAAGGCAAATAACTACATACATCCATATTAAAATTACATCTATGTCATTACCGATAAGACATTTAGAGGTAAAGGGATGGGGTACCTGAGACTATTAAATGGAGTGAAGGAAGGAAAGAGTGGGTGAGTGTGATTTGCTTGTAGTTAATGAATCCGAATCTGGGTCAAGGGTGGACAGAAGACTGCAGGATATTGTGACTCATGTAAGTTTGAAATGACTTTCAGTAAACAGTAAAGCCAACTATATTATACATGTGTCTACATCTATATCTCTTCTTATATAAATACTTTTCTTGGTATTTCTCTTTTGAATGGCATACTAAGCATCAGAAAGAAATAGTAAATATTTATCCCTGTCAAGGTAATAGCCATTAAACTGTCTTAGCAGAGAGTTGATATGCTTGCTCCCCATCTATTTTTTTTTTTAATATAACTTGAATCAAGTAAATACAATTCTACAGCTTGTTTGGTTTTTTACTTAGTTGCCTAGGTTAAGCATATCTATCTACCTGACTTATCTAATGGTCACAGTGATGGAAAGCTAACACAATAACTTTAAATGTACTTTGTTATTCTTAGTACAATCAGTATGTATTTTTTTTTATTACAATTTTTCTATTGGAGAATGTGTGTGTGTCATTTGACAGACTGACAGAGCTTCCCACATTTTAGGTTTTGCTGATTTCATGCTCATGATGCTTTGGGCATGTGCTCCTGTTTTTTGTGTCTCTTGAAAATTGTAAACTGTCCCCTGAGGCTTGGTCTGGCTCTGGACCAGACCTTTTAGCATGACTAGCGGCCACATGCTTTTTCATCAAAGTGCACATTGGGTCTGGGCTGTCTTTTTATGTTGTTGAGAATCATTTTATGCTCAATGCCTAGATCCAGTACTCCATCAGAGTTGTGAAGTGGCAATATTCTATTTCTATCATTAAATTTACAACTACTAGTTGGAGAATTTTAATAAAGAAATGCATCCTGCCTTAAATTTCTGGTTACTCAGTGGTTTAGATCATATGGAGGTGGAAAGATAGATGCCTGATTTCTCCCTCTTCCTTTGAGATAATCATTTGTTCCCTCTTGTCTCCTGGAGGTGATGAGTTGATTTTTAAAAAGATCAAAATTCCAGGCAGGGTGGTGAATGCCTGGAATCCTAGCACTGTTGAGTTTGAGCCCACCTGGGCAATTTAGCAACTTACAGAACATAAAAAATAAAATAAAAAACAAAAATGGGGTTGAGGTGTAGCTCAGTGTGAAAGGGCTGAGTTAAATTCCCAGTACTGCCAACAACAGCAACACAACAACGAAAACTATAACAAACCAAATCAAAACAACAAAAAATTCAAAAAAAGGATCAAAATAGATGATAGATTAAAAAATGTTTGCTAGTTGCTGTAGTTTGGTAAGTGTCTTCCAAAGGCATCCTTCTGCTATATAGTGAGGCCGTAGAATCATTAGAAGGCGGGGCCTAGTGGGCGGAAGTGAGGTCATTTGGGGCGTGGCCTCGAAGGCGCTCTTGGGACTCCAATCCCTCGCCCTTGCTCTCCAGTCCTGGTCACCAGCAGTGAGCAGCTTCGTGACCCACGCTCCCCGCCATGATATTTTGCCTCCCCCAAGGCCCTAGAGCCACACGTCTGTGACCATGGAAGGCAGCTTCGCAGACTGAGCTGAAATAAGCCTGTGCTCCTTTAAGGTGACTTATCCCAGAAAGCTGTCACGGCGATGGAAACGTGACTAATGCAATAACTTTAAATGTACTCTGTTATTCTTATTTGCTCCATTTTTGGCCAGGGAGAGCCTCTTGTGATTGCTCTGAGTCTTTCTTTGACATGAATTTCATAGTCTTTAATGGCTTCTTCGATAGCACCACTATTGGCGCCAATACCAGGGGGTGTTGAGTAATTAACTAGTTAGGAAATACCGGGGTCTTTTGGTTCTGTCACCGGCTAGCTGTGTATACACAGACACTTAATCCATCTGGGTCTCATTTCTACACACACTCATGCACACACACACACACACACCTCACAGTGAAAGGATGTACTAAGTCAAAAGTCACAGCTAAGCTATTGTTTTCACTGCTAAGCACAAAAACTGCCTACTTATATTACTTTTTAAAAACTGCCAGGCATGGTGGTGGATGCCTGAAATCCCAGCATTCTGGTAGGCTGAGGCAGGGGCATCCTAAATTCAAGATCATCCTGGGCAGGACCGGGGATTTAGCCCAGTGATGCTGCCGCCTGCCTTGTAAGTGCAAGGTCCTGAGTTTGATTCCCGGTACCAAAAAAAAAAAAAAAAAGACTGGGGATGTAGCTCAGTGTGAAGGCCCTGGGCCCAATCCCAAGTGTCAAGAACAAAAAGAAGATGTAATCTAATATGTCACCGGATAAAATACATCTGTAGACTTTTGTTTGGTTGTTTTTTCTGGTACTGGGCATCAAACTCGGGACCTTGCGCTTGCCAGACAGGAGCAGTGCCACTGAGCTCCACCCCAAATCCTTATCTGTAGACTTTCAGTTTGCTCTTCCAGATTAAGATGCTTAGGATTTGTACTTGAAATAAATTAAGAAATAAAGTAATTTGAAATGGTAGTTATTACATGAGATAGTTAAAAAAAATCTGACGTTCTATAATTCTTTTCAAGACCTACTCTATAAAATCACCCATTTTTAGATATAAATAGTACAATATAGAAAAATGACTAAACCTATGAAAAGATTCTCAATTTTTCTGGATCATACAAGGACAATTTGTTTTGCCTCTATGAGTCAAGGGTGGAAACAAAAAATTTAGTTGTTCTAGACTAATTCTTTGGGTTACAAAATTTTATTTTCATCTTTCTAGGCATCTTTGATGAATAGGTCAGGTTCTAAACTGAATAGGCTATAGTGCACTTGAATTCAATATTTCAATATGACTCTAGTTTTTACAAGTGGTTTATCAAAGAAAATATCTCTGACATAGCACAAGCCAACTCCTTTCTGAACAGTCTAGAGTGTATACAATTGTACTGCTTTGAGGAGGAAATTCCCCTCCTCTGAATGATGACAAAGTAGCAACTGTAATTGGAAGTTTGAAATTATCCTGAGACTGTCTTCCATGGAAGTTGAATGTGGTGTTAGAAAGATGATGCATCGGGCCGGAGATTTAGCTCAGTGGTTTTGCCACCTGCTGCACAAGTGCAAGGATCCAAGTTTGATCCCTGGTACCAAAAAAAAAAAAAAAAAAAGAAAGATGATGCATCATTCAGAATGCATTCAGGACATTGATGCTTTCTGTGCTTAAGTAGAGTCCAATGACCACACTGTGGGATCTCAGCATCAATCCGAAGAAGCTTAGTGCTCTTTGTCCCGTGCCACAGGGACTTGGTGACATTTCACTAAGCACCCCCAGGAAGGATGCTGTCCCAAGGCAGGTCAGCACCATGGGACAGGGACTAACTGCAGCCAGCTGCACGGCACCTTGATTCCCCATGATTCCCTTGTTTTAAACATGTTAAAAGTCATACGTGGGTATGAGTACCCCCCATTTTAACCCCACTCTTGTATTCTGCACACATGAAAGCTGAATATAAACTGCACAATAGTTTTGAAAGAGGACTGTGCAGAATAAAGGTATGCTTCAACAAGTTTTAATATTTATTGTAAAAAGATTAGGATGAAACAAGTCTGAATTGCACCAAAATGAGCTTCTAACTATTTTCCTGAGATGAGGCTGGTGGGCACCACTGACCATTAATCACACGGATGGGTCTGCACACACAGCTAGAGATTTCCTTTCCAGTGGGGGAGCAGAGGGCTCACTGCTGGGGTCCCCCGGGCCGGCCTTCCCGGGGGTTTTCCTGGACCTGGTGCAGGTGTGGCCTTTGCTGTGGAGGACTCCACAGGGAGCTCTGTTTGGATGGCAGGGAGAAAATGGAGCAGTGGCCCTACTTCAAGGCCACTCTGACAGCCGTGTGCCCAGTGATCCTGTCACCCTCATCTCACCCATACAAATGCCTCACTGTGTCCCCACGCCCACCACCATCAAACCGCAGTCACCCCCCTCACCAGGCGCATCCGTTTTCATCTCCACGATCATCTTCCAGACCAGCCCCTGCCGCTAGCTCGTCATCCTTTCCAATCTTCCCTACATGTTGTTACCAGATTAATTATCCTCCATCAGTTCTGCTTATCTCTGTTGTGGTTTAGATCTAAAATGTCCCCCAAAATCTCATGGGCTTCTGGAGGGTGAGTGGATCATGGGGGGTGTGCTCTTCAGTGGATCACTGATGAGGTCTGGGTGGGTCCCTTGAGGCATGACCCGGAAGGGTGCATTCTCCTCCCTGCCCCGCCCCCCCCTTCTCTCTGCTTCCTGGCTGCTATGAGGTAAGCAGCTTTCCTCCACCAGGCCCTTCCACCATGATGGTTCTGCCTTGGAGCTGGCCAACCATGGACCGAAACTGTGAGCCACAATAAACTTCTCCTTTAAGTTGCAGGTATAGTAGGTATTTTAGCCACGTGATGGGAAAGTGACTTATACAATACCTATTACTTGCTTCAACACTGGTGTTTTATTCCTGTTTACTTAATGTCATTCTTATTGACCAAAGTCCAGTTCCCTTGGGCTGGCATGCAAAGACATTTATTAAGAAGGCTCCAGGACAGACTTCAGAATGGCTCTCCCATGGCTGCCCCCTAAGTTTTCTGAGCTCCAGCCAAGCCAGAACACTCATTATTCCTTGAATATACCTTCAGCTGGCATTTTCCAAAGTTCAGGTTAAATGCTACTTTATCAGAATTTGTTAAAATGTGTATTTTTAGATCTGATTCCTAGAAGCCTTCTCTTTAAAGTCTTGGGTATTTTTTTTTTCTTTTTTTGTCCTTTACTCTGGGATCTTATTTACAATAGTGTGGCTACAGGGAAAGTCCCATTTAATATCTGGTTACTTACATATTGTACAGGTATGTATGGAACTAATATGAAGATATAAAGGAACTGGCAGAGTGACCAATGAAGTTCCTAAGCCAAGGTGGATCTGATGGTTAATTCCAAGAGTTTTTGTGTTGGCCAAGTACATAATGTCTGTGACAGAATTTTTATGTTTCTCATAAGCCCTCCATGAGACCGTAAACCTTTAGGGGACACGTATTATGTATACTCATAAAGGCATTACTTGAAAAGTCTGGTCCAGTGTTTTGCTTAATAAATATTAACTGAATTAATGGTATGGTACTTATTTTTTAAGCTTGTGATATAAATTTAAGTTCAGAGCCTCCAATGTAATTTATTTTATTTTTTTCCAATGTAATTTAAAAAATAACCTTTTCCCACGTGATACTGGAGATTTTGGTACTTCACACTGAGATACATCCTCAGCCCTATTTTTATTTTTTATTTTGAGGCAGGGTCTCAGTAAGTTGCTAATTTTCCCAGGCTGGGCTTGAATTTGTGATCCTCCTGTCTCAGCTTCCAGAACACTAGGTTTATAGGTGTGTGCCACCATGCCTGGCATAAATACCCTTCCTTATGTCGGCTCTGAAGAAGTCCTTTCTGTCTTCTGGTGGCCCCTAAATCTACAGGATGAGTTCCTCCAGGCGCCCTAAGGTCACTATCCCTGGCCCAGGATGCCCTGCCCTGGCCATTTTTGTTTCTGTGCTGCTGGGGGGAGCCCAGGGCCCAACACACAGTAAGCATGGCTCTACCGCCCTGTCGCACCTCAGGCCTCTGGGTGGCTGGTCTGCTCCGAGCTCTAGTGCCTCTGTGATGAGACTTTCCTTTGGTTGGTGGCTCCGGGCTGTGTGTGTCCTTCTGGACAGCCCTGCAAGGCCCTGCCTGGGTTCCCAAGGCCCCTCCATGCCCGGTGCCCTGCAGAGGGCCCTCCTTCCCTCCCGGACACCGGGAGCCCGCTGTGGGCGGCGGGTGCCCGGCCTCTGCCTGGGCCCACAGTGCCCCTTCCTGCCCCCTCTGTCCCAGCCCCGCGCGGCCCGCGCCCACCTGGCTGATGGTGCTCATGGCGCGCATGTAGCTCTCGTTCCTGGAGCGGAACTTGGGCGACGTGAGCAGGCCCGCGGGGTCCAGGCTGTCCAAGCTCCTGTTGATGGAGACTTCGCTCACCGCCCTCAGGTAGCTGTGACTTCGGATCTGGAGCTTGGGCGAGTGTTCATTGGAGATCCTGGGGGGACAGCGGGAGGGTGCGTTAGCCACAGGACAAGTGTGCGCAGCAGCGAGACCGCGGTCATCTGGGGAGCAGCGACGCCCACGACAGGACAGCCGATCGTCCGGAGCAGAATCCCCATGGTGTCTCCCCGGGAGGACTTCTTTTGAGTCTACATGTTTGCTTTCTTCTTAAAATTTTATTATACTTTAAATATCTTGTTATTTATTTGTATTAGCACACATAATGATGACATTTACTGTGGGGAGTTGGTCCATGTGCAAACAAGTCTTCATTCTTTTTATTCCCCCATGTCTTAGTCCCCTTCCCATTTGCAAAAGATCTGTCTCTAGTTTCCTATTATCTTTGTTGTTGTTTTTTTGTTTTTTGTTTTGGTGGTACTGGGGATTGAACTCAGGACCTTGTGCTTTCAAGGCAGGCACGGTGCCACTGAGCTAAATCCCCAGCCCCTTCCTATTATTTTTTATATTTATACTTGGGGTTCTTTAAAAAAAGTTTTAATTTAAAAATTTTAACTGCTGCATAATAACTGCATATTTATGGGGGACAGTGGGAGATTTCACCACCTGTGCACAGTGCCTAATGATCGGATGGGGATAGCTGGTATACCCGTCACTCAGCCATTCATCATTGCTTTGCGCTGGGAACACTCTAACTCCTCTCTGTTAGCTATTGTGAAACAGAATTGTTTTCAACCATGGTCCCCCTACTGCCCTACAGAACATTATAAATTATCCTAGTGCACCCCGTACCTGTTAACCACCTGCTACCCATCCCTGTCTGCCTCAACCTTCCCAGACTCTGCTAACCCCTGTTCTGTTCTCCACTTCTATGACATTAACTACTTAAAGCTTCAACATTTAGGTGAGAACATTCAGTACTCATCTTTTTTGCCTTGCTCACTTCACCTAACATAATGTCCTTCAGTTCTATCCATGTTGTCACACATGACAGGATTTTTCTTTTTATGGCCGAGTAATATTCCATTGTATACAACTGTGTTTTCTTTGTCCATCCATCCACTGCTGGGCATCTAGCTTGATTCCATGTTTTTGCTACTGGGAATAGTGCCACAATAAACATGGGGACACTGATGTCTCTTCAACATTCCAATTTCATTTTCTTTGCATAGATACCTTATGGAGGGATGGCTGGATCCTAAGGACCTCCATACTGTTTTCCATAGTGGCTCTACTAATTTGTATTCCCATCAACAGTGTATACAAGTTCCTTTTTCTTCACAGGAGGAAATGTTTTGACAAGAAACCATCAAGATCTGATGACATTAGAGAGCAATTAAAATTCTCTTCAACCCTAAAATAATTTTCCTATACATCTTAGGGAGGGAGATAATAGCAGTGGTTGTCCTGCCCCAGAATTCTGTATTGTATGAACTTTCCCTTGGTATCTGTTTTTTTCCTGGGGCCATATTTTTAGTTTTGGATTCTCTAGTAGCAACAAATAGCTCTGTATCTATATCTGCCCATCCATGTACTGCTCTCATCTATGTCTCCTCTCTCTTCTATCAATCATCTGTATCTATCTATATCATCTGTCAATATCTATCATCTATTTCCGGGACCTGCCTTGCAAGTGCAAGGTCCCAAGTTTGATCCTTGGTACCAAGAAAATAAAAATAAAAAATAAAAAGGATATTAAAAAATATTTATGGTCTATCAATATCTACCATCTTTTAATATCTATTATATATCAATCACCCACCAATCATCTATATCATTTATCTTGAATAGAAATTTTAATTTAAAAATTCTATTCAATTTGGCAAAATGTAAACTCAACAGAGATAAAAAAGAGAAGCTCCAGGATTTTATGAAGAAACTGGTAAAACTTCATGGAAGGCAATAAACAAGGTCTGAATAAATGCAAAACAAATTTAACAGTTTTTCTCGTAGAAATACTCAATTTTGTAAAAAAATTTAATTTTCCAAGTTAATCTATAATGTTAATCGAGTTATAACAAAAATTCCTGTAGAATTTACTGCAATGTATTAAATTCATTTTAAAGTTTCTGTGAGACTCTCAGCAGCGTTATTCTAAGACGCAAAGAGAGAACCACCCAAATATCCATGAGGTGGTAAACAGAGAAAATGTGTTATATCCTTGGAGTGGCATTTAATTCAGCCACAGAAAGGGATGCAGTGTTGGTACAGGCTACACATGAGTAAACTTAGGAGCCACTGTGCTAAGTGAAAGATGAGGGTCACTAAAGACCACATATTCCAGTTCTCCCATGCGCGGTGCGGTGTCCCAAACAGGTGAGTCTGGAGAGACAGAGTGCATCAGTGGGTGGACAAGAGACAGGGAAGACAGTAGTGTTGGAGGTGCTATCTAGAGGGTAGGGGATTTCTTTTTAGGTTGATAAAAATGTTTTAAAATCGATGCTGGTGATGATTGTACAACTCCATGAATACAGTAAAATATTGACTTGTATGTTTGAAATGTTCAGCATGCATGTCATAACTCAATAAAGCCATATAAAATTATATGAGGCCTCAGTATCATCAGATTTCCTCACAAGATGAGTGGGAAAATGAAATACAGACAGAAAAAAGTGAAAAAAAGTTATTGTAATCCAGCAAGGCCAACGTTTCTAAAAGTGTGCCTTGATTTAGCATAATTGTCCTGTTTGTTTTATATGTTTTTTGGCCTGTTAGTCTGGTTGTCAATCTACATTTATGAAAATTAACTCAATAAGAATGTATAAAATAAATGAATCTGATGCTGGGGGAAAAAAACAGGTGGAGGGGAAGGGGAAATAAAAGAATGAAGATGTGTCATGTACACGGACCAGCTCCCCACAGTGAATGTCATCATTATGCACACAAACATGGACTAATGCAAATTAAAATTAAAATAAATAGGGACCGAGGATTTAGCTCAGCGGTTTTGCCACCTGCTGCGCAAGCGCAAGGATCCGAGTTCGATCCCTGGTACCAAAAAAAACCCAAAAACAACAAAAAAACCCAAATAAAGTGGGGAAAAACTAGGGAAGGAAAACCAGTTAATTTGGTTGCAATACCTATACCACAGTGCTAAGGACTAAGTATCAGGCATACTGACAGGAATTGATGGATGGGAGAGTCCACATGTAATATAAATGTGGAGAATGTGCAAGAAGAGTCAGAACAGCCAGAAAATAACAAGTAGATAAGCAAAGGGGGGAATGGCCTTCACCTTGCAGGTCTGCAACCATGAGAACAGTGGGTATTAGAATATTAATTTCTATATCTAAAAACTTAAAAGTTATGAGCATATTATGGAAATAAACAAACACTGTAAAACCTTAGGCAGAGGACTATGACAGGGAAAGACTGAAGAAGCCTAGTGTTAAATCTATAAGCCATTAAGAGGACAAGTGACAAGTGGAAGAGCATAGAGGGTTGTAAACTTCTGTTCAGCCAGAAACACTGTTAACAGAGTTAAGACAAATAGTGTTGAGAGCACTACACAGCACAATGAAACAGGACCACATCACAGCATCTAAAGTAAACTTAATGCTATTCATACAAACAGGCACAGGGTATAAAGAGGCAATCACAGGAAATTAAAGACATAAATTCACAGGAAAATAAATTTACTTGCTACCATATGCATAGCAGGATGCATGGTCTCACTAGTAATTACAGAAATGTTGATTAAAAAAAAATTTAGGCATCACACCCACGTGAACGTCCTCAAATGGAAAAGAGAACCCCAAAGTTTTCTTCATAGCAATGTGTAAGATTATACCCCTTCTTAGAGTGGATATGGAATTTCTTCATAGCTGGAAAAGATAATCTCAAATATCCTAAAACCTCAGAATTTGATTAGCAGCCACTTTTTATTTTCATTTGTAGAGATTAAATTAAAATAGATGTAGAACACAAGATCCAGAGTAAATCTCTCATGTCTTTGTTTGTTATAAACAAGAAACTGTCCAGTGCCCTATGGATTTCTATGTTGCTCTCAAACATGAACATACCTCTGAGTGTTTTCCAAGTGTTTTGTTCTTATTATTTATGGTGGTTCACACCCAATCCCTTTATATATAACTGTGCCAAAAATTCCAACCAACAAACTAAAAAATTCATTTTCTCTAGAAGATCATTTTTTAGCAAAAGAGATCTCTAGTTTGAGGCATTCATAACCTAAAGTCCATTTTCCTGTCAGAACTGAAGGTTTGGATGACAAATGCATTTCCCTGGCTGTTTACAGCCTGACCTCCAGCTGTGCTGTTGCCAACATATGACGCTACTCCCAGCGAAGAGTGGGCCGAAGTGGGGGTGGCTATGTCGTAAATGGGGCATTTTCTAAAGAAGTGAAAGTCTGGTGTTTTGAAAAATAAGCGTCTGCCGGACAGGATGGGGAAATGCAGTGTGGCTGAGCAGTCACCCTGGCCACTTGTTATGAAATAGGAACAATTCCAGAATTTCACAGGGAAAAGCCGCTCAGAAGAGCCCTAGTAACTCTACCCCAGTGAGTCCTTCCTGATAAAACGGAGTCTACGGAATGGACTCAGCTCATCCCCCAGAGAGCCAGCCTGCCGCTGCCAGCAGAAAGGGCGCAGCAACACCCAGCAGGCAGCGCAGGGTGCTGCAGACCCCGCCTTCACCCCGGCAGGCAGGGAAGCTGCTCCGCGGGGGAGAGAAGTGTACACACCCTCGGGTGTTGGCTTCGTGATAGACCATTTTTCCAGGTTGGCCTCCTGAGAGGACAACCATCCGTTCCACTCTTCTTCCCAAGCTACTTACAGAACTTACTGCTTTTCCTGGTTCATTAGAACTGAAGTGAGATTTGACCCCACTACCCACCGAGTCCCCTTTCACGATCATATCCTTTGTTTTCGTTTTTTTGAGACAGGGTCTCACTATGTAGCCCAGGCTGGCCTTGAACTTGTGGTGATCCTCCTGCCTCAGCCTCCCTCAGAGTGCTGGGATTATGGGCGTGCGCCACCTCACCCGGCTGATGGGAAGTCTGATGATGAGGCTGCTATGGTG